TCAGGAAGACGCTCTATGCTGAGTCAGACTCTTGGTCTATCTACTCCAGTCTTGTCGACTCTGACTGGCAGTAATGGCTTTTTGGGTCCTCGGAGACCATTTTCCCCCAGCCTTACCTGAAAGCTGAACACGTTCCATATGTGTTGTGTCCAACAGATTTTTGGTATCACCTGGCAGGACAACGTTCCAAATAGAGTAGTCCTAGATCGAGCTGGAATTTTTAGCATGTATACATTACTGAAACAGCGACATCTACATTGGTTCGGGCATGTTGTAAGAATGGCTGATGGTCGGATTCCAAAAGATCTCCTGTATGGAGAATTAGTGTAGCGAAATCGCCCCAGAGGGAGACCACAGGTGGTGCAGTATGGCCTCCCTCAATTTGAAGAGGCACTTGTCCAGCAGGCTGAGGCAAAGAGACAGTCCTGAAACCAGCAAAACCAGGGCGCTGGACAGGGACAGACTGTATTTGACTTCAGTGTGGAAGTATCTAGTGTGGCCTCCTCAGCCACACTAGATGCTGTTCCAAGACCTCTATTCAGAGCATGTTACCATAGTCTGAAGGATGCCTAATCTGTGAATCTGAGAGTTATTCAGAGAGCTGGCAAAGCTGGCAAAGCACAGCTGCCTAGAGGGTATGAGTGGATGTCTTAAGCAACTTGGGTTTGTTTTTTTTAAAAAAAAGATTATTTAATATACTTTTAGGAAGAGCAGGGGTGTTGAGGTCAGGGTGATAGGAGCTGATTGGGGTTCTTGGATACCACACACACTTTGTCCATCCCTGTTATATGGAGTGAGATGGGCAATTCAACCGGGCACCAAGCCCGGTAACAACACTTTTGTCCTCCTTCTGTAGTCTCTCACTGCTCTATCTGTTTCGCTTTGTTTGCCACAGTATGTCATGCATCTTTAGGCAGCCAAGAAACCACAAATGAAAACTCAGAAATTTAAACAAGAACTAATAACACTGTAATCATTATCCGGTACTGGATGGAATGGAGCCATTTTCATTGGACAACATAAAATGAAAGCCCATGTTTGATTTTTGGTAACTAAACAGATGTGCAAGCATGACAAGGTATTAATTGACTTTTTAAAGACCAAAGTATTGGTTTTGTTAGCATGTTTACAATGATATTGAATTTTATCTATTCCTTATGAATATGAAATTTAGTATTTATGATATTTCTATTTTTAAAAAATACAAAAAGCCAATTTAAAAATATGATACTTTGGGGAAAAATATTGATTTTTATCCACCCTGAGTAAAGCAGAATAGATATAACCATCTGGGGGAAAGCTGAACAGGAGGAAATTAAATAAACACACAAGAACATGAAAATAGATCAAATATAGCTAATGAAGTCCCCTGAGAAGAGAGATCCAGTATTCCACTCAAACCTCTACATCTGCCTATAGAAACTGAAATACAGTATAATTTACTTTAAATTATATTTTGCAAAACCCACAGAGTATATTACTTGAATGTGCAATAACTGCTTATAAAGGTATAAGCAGGAGGTCTGACCATTAATAACTCTAATTACATAAGTGTAAATTAGTGGTGTAGTGGTAAATTTGGAAGTACAGGTTCTCATTGTGACAAGTCCTCACAGCTTGCACTCCTGACAATGTGTGTCTAAAATTGTAAAAAGTCAGATTGGTCTGCATTAAGAAACCGAGAGCAGTATTTGTTTAAATACAATTAATAGCTGTCATTTGTTGATTGAAGATCAAACCACTTTCAAATAATGAGCACACCGTTTAACGATGAATCTGCATAGCGATCTATTTTTTTAGATTGCTAATGCGATCGCATTGCGATGTTCTGAATAGGCAAAACATCGCATTGCGATGATCGGTAAGCGTTTTGCTCACCGATCTTTGCATTGAGATGTTTTTTTAAAACAGCTGATCGGCGGTTCCAAAATGGCCGCTGGGTGCCCAAAATGGCCGCAGCAAGTGTTTTCGCGCCCTGCCCTCGCTTACCGAGGGTGCGAAAATGGCAGCGCTATGGAGGGACTTCGCTGAACGGTGAGTTTGGGAGCCATAGGAACGCATTAAACGAAGTTTAATGCATTCCTATGGCTTTTTCCGTTCCGCTTAGCGATGTTTCTGCATAGCAATGATTAATCCGGAACGGATTAACGTCGCTATGCGGGGCACTACTGTATTAAAATGTTTGCATAGCACCTCTTTCTAACATGCTCAAGACATCTTAATGGTGACATTAAAACTCTATGATCAATACAAATAAAAGTATTACTTTTAACAAAGGTAAATTTTGTACAAACCCATTTTATCTGAAGGTCAAACTAGATATTACACACATATTTGGAACTCCGTGGTGAGGGCAGGAAGCACATAGGGGTGCAACTTTTCATGGAGAAATTTCATTTCATTTCATTTTTCCACCCATTGTTTCTTTGATCCGTTACTGTTCTGGAAATACGTTTCACAGTCTTTCTTATAAGGCTTTTTTTCTTATGGCCCTGGATGGTACATTCAGTTGTTTTGATGAATTAACAGTGACCTATAGGATCTCTGTAATATGCTATGCAGCTGACTGGATAGCTCAGTGAGTTAGGCATCTGGCTGTAGAGCCAGAGGTGGGGAGTTCAATTCCCCACTGTGCCTCCTGTAAGTAGAGCCAGCCTGTGTGGCCTTGGGCAAACTGTACACAGTCCCAGGGCACCCCAAGAAGAAGGGAAGGGTAAGCCACTTCTGAGTATTCTGTACCTGGAAAACATTGAAAAGGGTCACCATAAGTCAGAATTGACTTGATGGCACACTATTATTAATATACTGTACATGTAAGGTACAGGCAAAATGTAGGTCTGATTCTTACATGATTTCCTATATAATCAATTTGGAGGGGGTACTATGTAGTCTATAATTTTGCTTTCATATGGGGAGCCATTTCTCTGGCATGATGCCTACTGTGACCATTGCAAAACATGCCATGCCATGGAAAATAATAGTAAATCCATGAGCGCAAACTGATATGATGTAATTGGTATGAAATCCCTCAGATTTAAGACTGCTTACCTGTTAGTTTAGCTGTTTTTGTCAGCAGGTTCCGTTGGAAGTCAGCCAGATCTGCATTCTAATAAGTATGCTTAAGATTAAATAATGGTGAACTGGCCTAGAGATTTTTAAAATGGGAAAAATTCTCTTGCCGTAAAGTTACACCACACCAACTGGATCTGGTATGGTTGACATTTAATGTAAACTAATTGAAAGCTTCCTATTCAGTCCCCCTTTAAGGTTCCAAGGCCTTCTTTGTGCCCTTTTGGAGAAGATCTTGGGAGCTTTGGAATGGGGGAGGCAGCCTTTAATAGCGAAAGATCACCGCTGGATCCTTGCTGGATCCCTGGTCCCAATCTCAGCAGTAGTGATTCCAAAGCAATTTTTTAAAGAGATTGCCTCCCTTTCAAGGTTCTCAAAGTCTTCCTGGGGGCAAAAGGGAGGTGCATGAAGCTTCAGAGTCTAAAGGGCGGGGCGTGGATATGAAGTTTGCAGTTATTTATATTAAATATTATCTGCACCAGATCCAGTTTACATCATTTCAATTTATATAGCAGGATTTTGCCCGTTATGAGAGAATCTAAATGTACAGTTTCATCCATATAGATTCAGGGTTTGGATACTTAGTTTTTAAGAATCCCATTCTCAGTCCCCACATACTCAGCTATATTTGGGGTGCCACATTAGGACTGTTATTTCTCTTTTTTCCACAGGGTCCCCAAAATACTTCCCACGGCAGGCAGATATAATGCTTCTTAATGCTGGAAATACTGCACCTGTTGAAATGGGCCAGTGCAGATGGGGAAGATTTTGTTTCAGTTTGTTGTGAAGAACTCACCCAAATGTGCACAGTTCTTCATGTTGAGTGCAGGACAAGTCCGAGGCTTTAAACATTGCAGGCCAATCTCCAATGGCAAAGATATGAAAGGAAACAAACAAAAAGCCCCACACCCAAATGCAATCACACAAGTGGTTTTCAGTGTTTGCTGCCTGTCCGTGGCACACCCTTTGCTCCATCAGTTGCACCGCTGGGATGTTCATACAGTATATGAAATGCATAGCTACATGCACAATACTCCCACTGCATTGATTGTGCAATTGTTCTTGTGCAATTTTATATCACAACAGGATTCCAAACCCAATATGAAATGGGCAGATCTTCTCATCCATAAATCTCCCTTTTTTACAGTCCCTCCTTCCACTATGTTTATATATGCCAGTGACTCAGGATAACACTTCATACATCTGTTTAAGCCCATCATTAACGTCTTAGTCTTTAAAATGCCAGAAGGCTTGGTGGCATTCAGTTTTGACCTCCTGTCTTTGCTTAGGCTTCTGTATAACCACACTAATGTACACAATGGTTGCAGGGTTTGTGGGAACTCTTTTCTGCCCCCTGCAACAGATTCCCTCTAAAATAAATAAGGCACTGTGCTGCACGAAATAATTTTAAAAATGTTTTATGTATTTTTATTTTATCTTCTGCTTTTTGAGTGTTTTTCATGCATGACATCGGAGTCTGACATTATTGTGTGCTATGTTATTTTAGAAATCTGTCATTTCTAAAATACCATGTGCTTAATGCATATACCCCCCCCAGGGCACAATCCTTTTGCTGAAGCCCCTCTCAAATAATGGGAGTGGTGGAAAAGCAAGGTCCACATCCTTCTTATAATGTAAGATCTGACTTCTGCCCCCTCTGTGCTGCTCTTTTTACCGTTCCATTTCAAAAAGAGCCTCTTTATATGTTGGCATGTTTCTGCAGCCTGCCCTTGGGTTTGTGTGGATGGCTTTGATGTTGATTGATGAGATGCTTTCTTTGAAGGAGTGCAAACTTGAAATGTAAAAAGTATTGTTTGTCAATTTTTATACGCTGACTGTCTTGCAGCCAATTTCCCCATGATGCCTATGAAGATAACATCCCTGGAAAATCAATTAAAACGGTTTACTCTACTTCTGATAGGTAAGTCACTACAGCAGTCTCACATAGAATCTTATATTACAGAGAGGCTCAAACTACAAGTCCCAAGTGGCATCATGACTACCATAACTGTGCAGTGTAAATGACATCAAAGGGCAAGAAAGCAAAGTATGAAGCGACTTGTAAATGTCACCCCACAAATTATTTACAGCTTTTACTGTATTTATTTACTGCATTTCTATGCCACCTTTCTTGGCAGTGGGACTCAAGGTGGCTCATGATTTTTTTTCTTTAAAGACAAGAATTAAAAACAACATATAAACAATATAAAAATTGTTTGGCAAAGAATTATTAAAATGTCATATTAAAAATGTAAGAAATATAAAATCAGTTAAAATGGATATATCGGCAGTGAATGTAAGGCAACTAGCTATGTTAAAATTAGCTCTCAAAAGCTGTTCCCATGGAAAAGACAGGCATTCTTTCTCCTTAAGACTTTCCCCAGGTCCATAAAAACATAGGCTTCACATTGTTTCACTGTTCTTTACTCTATCACTTGGTGAATAGCTGTTGAATGCATAGGTTGGTTTCACAGAAAGGAATTGCACTTGACCTGATAGCACTTGACACCTGAAAGGACAGCTAACTATGGCTCACATTTCAGAAAGAAAGCTGCCAGCTAGTGCTAGCGAAAGAACAGGAAACTCGGGTGGAGCTAGGCCTAGCTTAGCCTCAGAACTTTCAGATGAGGTCTTACTGCCCGAAAAGTCCACAACAACCAAAAGAGGAGAGCTCTAGCAGCATACAAAGCCTGTCCTAGTGAGTATAACTTGCAGGCTCTTCGAGTTGCTCGTAGCAAAGTCCAGCAAGCTGCCAGGAGATGTTCTAACAATTATTGGCTTCAGCTCTGCTCTCAGATACAGATAGCAGTGGACACAGGTAACATCAAGGGAATGTATGACGGTATCAAGCAGGCTTTAGGTCCAATACAGAAGAAATCCGCTCCTTTGAAGTCTGGTACAGGCGTGATCATCCAGGACTGCGCACAGCAGATGGAACACTGGGTGCAGCACTACTCTGAGCTATATTCCAGAGAGAATGTAGTAACCGAAGAGGCATTAACATCGAGTGCCTGCCTGTCTTGGAAGAGTTGGACAACGAACCAAATTTAGCAGAAATAAAAGTGGCCTTGGATTCCCTCGCCTCTGGCAAGGCACCTGGGAAGGGTAACATCCCTGCTTAAGTGCTGTAAAGAGATCATCACCATGCTGAAGCACACCTTTGGAACTGCAACAGAAGGTGTCTATCTCCAGACTAGATCAGATGGAAAGCACTTTAATCTCTCTAGATTGAGGGCGAAGACCAAAGTTGAGCTGAAATGCATGTGGGACCTCCTCTTCGCTGACGATGCAGCTGTTGTTGCCCATTCTGCTGAAGACCTCCAACAACTCATGAATTGTGTTAGCAAGACCTGCCAAGACTTTGGACTAACAATCAGCCTGAAGAAAACACAAGTCATGGGCCAGGGCGTGGACTCACCTAGCTCTACTACCATCTCCATACAAGAACTGGAGGCTGTTCATGATTTTGTGTACCTTGGCTTAATGATTTCTGACACTCTCTCTAGATTTTGAGCTGGATAAATGCATTGGCAAAGCAGCTACCATGTTCTCTAGACTCACAAATAGAGTATGGCTTAATAAGAAACTGACAGCATATACCAAGATCTAGGTCCCTGGCACTCTCTACAACTTTGCATTTCTTCATCCATGAAGCTGGTAATTTCCTGGTGCAACTGAGTCCTCCCTGGCAGGGCTAGGCATTGTCTCAATTTCTTGTGTCTCCGGGAGAAGATAGCAGCTGAGTCCTCAAGTTATCCTCAGTCCTGGCTTATGTTTCCTCTTTTATCCTCCTAAGTATTTATGCATTAAGGCTAAAATACTTAGAAAACAGCATAGCACTAACTGCCAGAATAAGAAAAATAAACCAAGGTTTTGGAAGCGCGGGGAAGGTACAAGACCTTGAAGGGAATAAGGGTTTGTCATGCCCTATCTGGCTGAGTCTTCTTTGGAGGATAAAGGAGGAAACCTATATACAGTGGTGCCTCACTTAACGATTGCCTCATTAAACGACAAAACCGCTATACGATGACTGTTTTAATAGGCAAAATCCGCTTTGCGACGATTGGTTCCCTGCTTCAGGAACCGATTCTTCACATTACGACATTTTTAAAACAGCTGATCGGTGGCTTCAAAATGGCCGCCCACTGTGTAAAATGGCTCCGTACTATGTTTTTGGACGGATTCCTTGGTTTACAGGCACTGAAAATGGCCGCCCCTATGGAGGATCTTCGCTGGAGTGTGAGTTTTTCAGCCCATTGGAATGCATTGAACGGGTTTTCAGTGTGTTTCAATGGGATTTTTTATTTCGCTTAACGAGGATTTCACTCTACAGCGATTTCACTGGGACGGATTATCCTCGTTAAGCGAGGCACCACTGTATAGGTTTCCTATATATAGGTTTCTGGGAGAAGATAGCAGCTGAGTCTTCAAGTTATTCCTCAGCCTGGCTTATTCCTATATATATCTTTGGAGGATAAAGGAGGAAACCTATATATAGAAGACATATATATAAAGAAGACTCATATATATATTTAAGTTTCCTCCTTTATCCTCCAAAGAAGACTCATATATATGTTAGTGTTATGCTGTTTTCTAAGTATTTTAGCCTTAATGCACGGCTTGCACAAGGAAGCAAGAGCCAGCATAGCACAGGGAAGGGCACTTGACTTGTGCTTAATAATAATGGATGTTTGCTGGACACTAGCTAGCACAAGTACAATGCTGAAGTGAAGAAGATGTGATTCCCAATAAATCTTCGAATGAGCAAGAGAAGTGGAAGCACAAGGAGATGGAAATGCTCTGCTTGATTTTTAGGGGCGGAGCTAGAAACAACAAGGCAGCAAGGAATCTAGACTCTCCAGAAACCTGCTGCATGCCGTGAATCCAGACTCCCCCCAAGAAATTCGGGGGAAGGGAGGGCCAGGAGAGGCCACCCTGAATTGTAGGAGAGCTACGGGGAGAGTGGAAGGCAACCCCCCTCCCTCAGGCCATCCTTTTTCTCCAGACAGAGGATTCCTCCGACGCCATTTTCTAATGTTGTCTTAGCTGTGAAGCTCCATGGGCAGGAGGGAAGCACGAAGATTTACGCATGATTGCATGAACAGGGACTAACTGATCTCAACACTGCTTCAGTAAGTACAAAATAAACTTAAGTGGCTGATTTTAAAGAAGATAGTGTAATCTTGGAAGCGGCAAACAAGCTTTAAACCCAGACACATTCGTAATTTATTACTGCGTCACACCTGAAACAGAAACTGAAACTGATAAAGACACAGACACAGACACTTTTTCTTCTTATCCTCTGTCATTGGATAGATGGAATAACTTTTATAATAGAAAACAAGATGTTTAAGGAGGCTAGATGCTGCGAGAGGTGGATTTAATCTAATGGAAGTTTTATTATGACTGGATCTACAACTGAAGCTACCTGGTGAAAGTTGAAGTCTGGGCTAGCATTATAAATCACCAGCTCTACTGAGAATCTGACTTTTATTACTTAAGTACTTTGTGGCTCTCGGCTGGAAGAAATAAACAAGCCGATTTGGTGGCTATTCTCTCTACGATAGGGAATGTTTCTTTATGTGGGACACATATTTTGAAACCAGAAAGCACCTTTTGCCCATCAACTTTTCAACGGAGATGGATCTAACAAAGGACCTAATAGATGCTTTACAGGAGATGCAAATTAATATACTAACAAAGGACCTAATAGACGCTTTACAGGAGATGCAAATTAATATTCTGAACTGCCTTACAACCCAGTTCTTTGTACCTAAGACATTGTTTCAGGTATGAAGGGACAAGTAGAGCATCAGGAGACGTCAGACCAGCTCATCAAAATAGAGGCAGCACCAGAGAGAGAGACTTTATTTGTTTTTAGAAAAGAGGGTGAAACCCCCCAAAAGGAGGTCAGAAAAATGAATCTGTATGATGAGAGAGAGGAGCAGGTGGATGAAAAAGAGATGTGTTCTAATCCGATGGGTGAATATTTAAAACAGGGAAGTGGAAAGGCATTGCTGAAAGGGAAGCAAAATGTTGATTACAGACCAGACATTGATTGGCTTCAGAGGCAGGACATGACTGATAGAGGAATAACCTCAGCAAACCAGAGAGAAAATAGCCTAAATAAGTTCTATAGATGGCATTTTAAAACTAGTAAAAAGGATGCAATTTAACTTTAGGTCTATAATGCGATGTGATCTGGAATTCCTGGCCCGTGCATGGAGTTAAGATTTATAAATTTAAAAAGGGGGAATGTTACTTGATGAATATAACAATAGAAATTATGGATTGAGAGGCACACATGTATACACAAAATTGATGGGATTTATATATTGCAAGTAATTTCGACTATGTTTGGAGTCAAATGGCAATTGAGAATTTTAACTATGTAATCTGAAATCTTTATTATGAATATAACATTAGAAATTGTTGGTTGTAAGGCACATATTTAGAAAAACAAATATATATGAATTGTAACATGATTAAGTATACAAGGTTAGATATATATAATATCTCCATTTTCTGAAATACTGATGGCATGTGAAATACTCATATGAAATACATGTATGTATAGATGTACTGTATATTAGAGTGAACATAGTACTGGAGATTATTCAATTATAAGGCACTCACATAGAGATATTAAGCACATATGAATTATAACATGATTATGTAGCTAAGGTTAGATAAATATACCTTTTGTTTTTGTTTTTTCTTTCTGAAATGCTGATTTCTCATGATGGTAAAGCATTGATAGTCTGAGATATAATTGGTTAGCCAAAGATGTAAGAGAAAGAATCTATTGAAAAATCAATCACTAGAATTATTATAACTTTAGGATGGTTTATATTGAACTAAATTTTTAAGAGCAATAAGGTTGATGCAGTCAGATTTATATAAGGGATAATATTGTATGGAAATGCCGCCACCCTGCCTATATGTGGGTTGTTTTTGTTGTTGTTGCTTGTTTTGTGTGTTCTTTGTTAGTTTTGTATGTTTATATGTGTGATTGAAAAAAAATGCTCTGCTTGATGAACCGCTGTGCAATGCTAAGAATATCTCAGTGTGGTAGACACCTAGGAGGATGAGCATGGTGGAACTCCTCCTCCTCAGTGAAACCCATGTGCTGCTTATAAATTATAATACAACTCTTACAGTAGCTTGCACTCTTCTTACTACAGGGCCATCATTGAAAAAGAAATGTGCACTTATTGCCGCAAACCCTTGGGCACAGATGCAAAGATGATTCTCGACAATTTGCAGATTTGCTGCCATGCAACTTGCTTCAAGGTAGGAGCACATTTTCATGACAATTGTAAAGGGTGTGTGGGAATTTGCTATTGAAATTGTGGACTATTTGCACGTAATTTGACTTGGAAAATATGTTGAGCTTATAATAACTGCATATTATATATTGGAGAAGGCAGATCTATCACAACATGTTGCCAGGTGAAGGGTTCCTGTTCAGGATTCCAGCTAGTCCATGCTTTCTTTCTTTCTTTCTTTCTTTCTTTCTTTCTTTCTTTCTTTCTTTCTTTCTTTCTTTCTTTCTTTCTTTCTTTCTTTCTTTCTTTCTTTCTTTCTTTCTTTCTTTCTTTTTATTTATTTATTTCGTTTTCCTTTCTTTTTGTACATAGTCAGCAGCCCATACTGTCCATGAATGCACAATACTCTTTTATTTGTTCTTATCTATTTATTTAAAATATTTTTACTCTGATTTCTCCTTAAAAGGGACTATATTTAAAACCTAAAACCAGTCAGAATACGAATATTTAAAAGAATTAAACAAATACCACACTAAAATGGTAAATAAAATCAACACCAAAAACAGATTCAAAGCAACAAGGCACAATATTTAAAAACCCCTCCCAGACAGCCAGTCACTGAGGGAAAGCCCTCCTGAAGATAACGGTCTTTGTCCCGTTGCAGAAGGACAGCAAAGATGGGCCCAACCTCGCATCCTGTTGGAGGGAGTTCCAGAGTCTGGGTGTAGCAACAGAGAAGGCCCTCTCCCACATCACTACCAAATACACCTGTGAACGATTTAAGATTCCTACTCCAATTTTGATTTTTTTCCCCAGATTTCTGCAGGCCTCCTAATAGATGTCTATCTTAGATGTGAAGGGGGCTGTTTTGACTGCTTATAGATTCACAAGGAGATTCAGTTCACTGTCAGTGTATATCCTATGCATAGATTTGTGGGCTGGTTTGGACATAAGACCAGAGGGTTTAAAATTACCATCATGTATACAAGCCTGTTTCCTTTCTTCTGTCTGGCATGATAATGAGGAAAAAAAATTAAAAATATTCACTTATATTTCTAATTAATAGCAGTTTGTCTACAAGTCCAGTCTAGGAACTGCAGTTAATTTTAATAGTTGTCCACCTGGCCAAACTGGATTCATAAACCTCATCTTTAAGTTCATTTATTTGCAGAAATCATATTTAAGTCTAACCACAATCTGTCTGTTTGTACATAGCAACAAGCTATGGCTGATCTCATCATAGCTATGCCAGAAGAGAAGAACATTAAGCAGCCTCAGGATCATTCTCACAATGCGTAATTCACTGTTGCATCTTTTGTTATCTTTGGTTCTCCACACAATAGCCATATCTGACTGACTGAAGACGAAAGTAAGGGTGTGCATTTTTGTGAGCATGCGTATTCTCCAACTCCCAGGATTCTCCAAGAATTCCCCAGGCATAATTCTGAGAGTTCTTGCTCACAAACATCCACTTTTCATTTATCCGGAACAAACCCTTATTTTCCATGCTGCTTCCGACCTATTTCCTGTACAGAAAGAAAACTGCCTCAATGCTTCCTGGGAGGCCAGATTTGTTGTGAGAGGTACAGTCTTGCTGTTCATTAGGTTGCATATAGGGTGCCCCTCAAAAACTACACCTCCTACAAAGACTTAGGCCTCCCAGCAAGCACTGAGGCAGTTTCCTATTTATATAGGAATTAAGTCCAGGACAATCTGGAAGATAAGGCTTGTCCCAAGTGAACAAAATTTAAGTGTGCGTAGGTGTCTGTGGGCAGATGGACTCAGAACTCTGCCTGGGGGACTCTTGGAGAATTCTGGGAGTTGGAAACAAACAATCAAGTGCACACTCCTAGATGGAGGAGCCTTGTATCTCCAAGACAGACCACATGCTAGGCAGGCATAAAGAATGAGATTCAATTCCTTACACTCCTAGATGGAGGCAGACCACATGCTAGGCAGGCATAAGGAATGAGATTCAATTCCTGATCCTAATATCAACAGATAAACCGATCCGAATTGGGGGGGGGGGGTCAGTTAGCAGGACTGTTTGATACCTTCCGAAATTGTTGCCAGTCAGAGTAGGCAGCACTGGGCCGGATAGACCAATGGTCTGACTCCATATAGTATCAAATGTAACCAGATTATTACTTTTTTAAAAAGGAAGATTATAGAATTTTGGCCACAGTTTTGTGATGGAGCCATTTCAACAAGATCCTGTAATTTTAATGAAACAGCTGGGTTTAAAAGCCAATGAGAAATCTTTACATGGGCTATTTAGCCTGGTCTATTAATCAGAGTTCTTAAGAATATCAAAAGGTGTTTCATCATTCTAAACTTGCACAATTACATCTACTTGACTAGCAAGGAAGAGCAAACAACAGAAGAGCCATTACATAACGGCACAGTTACCTCATTTCTTTCCTAGTTTGGCCACAAACCAACAGAGAATTATTGAAGTCCATTGCTTTCATTTGGCTTCATTCAGTGCACTCGATTGTGCCTTGAATGGTAACCTTCCCCTGAAGCTGCATCTGAGATATTTCATGCCTCAGATGAAGCATAGTGTTTCGAAACAAAGTGGCTCTCCTAACAACTGGGATGAAAAGTGTAACTGGTCTATTTCAGTTTCATACTCTTGGTCCTCTCATGTATATAATGGGAACAAGGAAAAAGGGAGAAATCTCCACTCTTCTTCAGGGGCAGCTTCAGGATTTCGATAATAACCATACCAGGAAATTGAAGGGTGCTCAGCAAACAGTTTAGCCTCTCCTGCATATTCTTTAGTCAAGATTCCACATTGAAATATTTTATTGCTGTACTTAAACAGCATTCTCCATGCTCTCTCAACTGGACACTCAATTTTATTTCATTACCAATTTATTAAAGAAGCAATGTCCTACTCTGCAGTAGTGATCTCCATATGTGATACAGACAATTAAAACAATGTAAACTATTATAAAAGGATGTAAAATAAGGTGATTGAGGTCAACAACTGCATAGCTTCAGCAATGCTGAAATATTCACTGGCCACTGTCTAATACCAATCTTCCAGCTGCCCACATGTATATATATTCATTTGTTGGGTTGGTCAATTTTTATTTAAACACAGATGGTGATGTGAAGTTAGGGGATTGGTGGCAGAGAAAATTGAGCAGTAATAAGCAGAGTAAGTGGACATATTCCACAGCCAAGATTTTCCCACTCCAAAAGGGAATCACAGTATACATTTGCAAATCAAATTGTTGAGCACTTGTTCAAGGAGAGGAAATATATCTTTGAAAAGGCCACAAGGACCCTTCCAAATTCCTTTTACTGCTAGCTCAGTGGAGAGAGCACATGGCTTTAACACAGCAGGTCCCTGAGTCCATCCATAGCACATCCAGCGAAGAAACAAGAAATGAGATACTACATAGTGGGTCAGGCATTTGTTTGAGATGCCAGCAAACCAACTCATTCAAAGTGTACTGGACTAGATGGGCAAATATGCCATCCTTTTGTACTCCTAAAATAAAGCATCGTTACCAACACCTTTAGAATTAAAGTAGTGTATAAGGAAGTACAGTATCAGCGTATAATAAAGATGAAAAGAACCCAGAGATACAGCATTTAAACGGATGTTGAATTCTGCAGATGACAGCCTAATGATCATAACCTCCTGCTGTGGCTGCTGATGACAATGATGATGATGGGGGTGATGATGCTGATAATTGGAAAAGTCATGCCAGGGGGCTGAATTTCTCTGAGACCTTAATTGCAGTCATACCTTAATGCTTATGCACTGGCCATGTTGTGCACATCACAAAGGTTGATTAACTTTCATAAATCAAGGTACAGTATCTGTTTAATTCTCTGTGTGTTTCAAGTGTGAAGTCTGCCATGGACCACTGGAAAACCTGAAGGCAGGAGACAGCATTTGGATTTACAGGAACACAGTGCACTGCACACCATGTTATGCTAAAGTCAAAGGTAAATTTTATGAGAGACACCTTGTAGTTTACTTTTTTGGCCATCTAGGGAGGTAGGCAGTCCAAAGTCAAATGTGTGAACCACTGCCATGCATGCTCCATTTACAAATCATACAGATACAAAATATAGGGGATTCTAGATGAATTTCTCAATTGACTGAATTAAGGATGCACATGGGGGAGGTGTTGGATTTTGTTTTTGTTTTTCAGATTTCCAATTATGTTAATTCTTTTCCCTAATACTTTTATAAACATCTATATCGTTTGGATTTAGACCTTTCATTTTTCAGACTTCAGTTCATGCTCCAGAAATTTCTAGGTGAATTGAGCTTTATCTGCATTGATTTGCATGCAAGGCAAATAAGTTTGCAACCCCAAAATCAGATAAGGTGGGAAGAATACCTTGCAGAAAGAACTCTATTGCCCCAATCCTCTTGCTGGGAACTGGCCTTTTTCTGATCACCAGACTTTTTCTTAGCCTCCCAAAGAGATGCAAAATCATTTTACACACAGTGAAACAAAAACAAGATAGAATAAAATAAAATTTGAATTCAGGATGAGTTACTTCAAATTTAAATTCCATTCCTCCAATCAGGATTTCTTCAATTCTTGACTGTAGGGTGCTAACAAACTTATTTAGATGACTATCAGAATTCACTTTGAATTTCTGATAATCTCTGTGTTTGTATGAAATCTGTATCAAATTGACAATATTCAGATTGCCTGTATGTATTTTAAATCCTATATATAAAACAAAAAATACTGTATGTACAATCACATTTCTCAGTGTTTCACTTTGTAAAGTTGCATACATTCTTCAAATAGTTCTCTCTGATTTATCATCTCTTTCTCTCTACAGCATCATGGGTCTACTAATCTTTACCTCAAATCAGATCGAGTTTGTTCACAGATGAAAAGCTATGTACATTTATCCTGAAAAATCATATGCTTAAAAAAAAAGATTGAATGAAACATTCTAAGAATTATCATAAACAGAAGACACTTCAAGAGTGGTGAAAAATGAAACCATCTACACCTTTGGAAGGAAGAAAATTTATAATGGCACATGCATAAAACATGTCTGTATTATCAGCAAGAAAAGATATTGACTGCATGCTAGTGCATGTCTACCTAGAAGCATGTTCCACTGAACGCAGTGGGAGATGCTTCTGATTAACACAGGTAGGATTGCATTGTGTGAACATATCTAATGAAGTCTTGACTAAATCCATATTCTGCTTTCTGTTCATAACTTAACAACTAGCTTATGTGAAAGAGCTATATCTGACACCAGAGACAGAGCCTTAATCTCAGCTCATGTACGATGGCTCCAGTGCAGAGAAAATGAGTTGCTTTTCAAGCCCTGTTGAAATCAGTGGATCAAGGTTGTTGATACTTACTTTAGATCAACTTTTTCTCTGTACTGGGGCTAATTTTTTTTTTCTTGGATTCTGGCCAATAATACTACATACATGTGTCCAAAAACTGGAGGACCAGAATAGCTATGGGAGTAGTGTGTGCAGCATCATAAGCTAAATAGATCAATATTGTTACTGGGCTAGAGGCTGGGAAAAATCACTGTCTTGGACTCTATATCTCGAGAATCCTCGAGCCAGTGGAAGTTGTAGGCCAAAGAATGGACTTCTCCAAGCTCTGTACTGGGCTGAGTTAGGGTATTAGTTGGGTCTGGGCAAGGTTTGTGGATGGATGTTGGACCAACTGATGCCATCATGTGAGCAAGGGAGTTCACTAAAACTGGAGGGTGGGGAGGCGGAGAAAGAGAGAAGCAAGCAGGCAGAATGCCTTGAGGTTGGCAGTCCTTTGGATACTACCTAGGTATACAGTCCTTTGGCTTGGGAAAGTTAGCTACCCCTTTATCAAAATTTGCAGCCAGGTGCTACAATCTCAACTTTCTCTACGTCAGGAATAATTATTCCAAGGATCAGGCCCCTATTTTAGTTTTATGTCACGTATTTTAAAACTCATTGTTTTAAAACTGTCATATCAAAATAGAAAACTCAGTATATGTGTGTGCATGTGCAACAGTATTTGTGTATTTCCTTTCTTATTTCTGAACTTACGAAAGTAATTTAGCCCTACTAGTGATAAGGACTATAAAGACGTTTCCTTGAATATAAAGAAATGTTGTAACGTTTCAAATATAAAATATGAAATAAAATGTAAGATAGACATTGGGTTTGGATTTTATGGTAGTCATGGATTTATTATGTTGGGAATGTATGGGATATAGTGAGCTCCAGAGTCATGTGCTCCTCTCTTCTCTCTGCACAATCACAACGAAGCTTTTGGAAGTTCCACTTTTTAAAAATAATGTCAGCCTCTCATTTCAGTGGAACTCAAAGCTCAGTCTTCATTATGGATTGTTTGGAACAACTGGCCGAAAAGGCTTCAGTTTGCTTTGTCTCCACACCAACTCATTCCCATCACAATAAACCACTATTTATTTTTTATATCCAAATGCATGCATCAATATTACTGTTTAATGTATAGTGCATTTGATCTATTGGTATACAATCTGGTTTTAATTATGTTGGGAATGTATAGGATATAGTGAGCTCCAGAGTCATGTGCTCCTCTCTTCTCTCTGCACAATCACAACAAGGCTTTTAGAAGTTTCACTTCCACTTTTTAAAAATAATGTCAGCCTCTCATTTCAGTGGAACTCAAAGCTCAGTCTTCATTATGGATTGTTTGGAACAACTGGCCGAAAAGGCTTCAGTTTGCTTTGTCTCCACACCAACTCATTCCCATCACAATAAACCACTATTTATTTTTTATATCCAAATGCATGCATCAATATTACTGTTTAATGTATAGTGCATTTGATCTATTGGTATACAATCTGGTTTTAAACATAATTCACATAGAATTAATATATCAGTTACTTAGTATGTGACATGGGAGGTGAAGGGAGAAAAATATTTGTTGTTTGAATTCTTGTATTATTTGTATTGTATAAACTTGATTGTGTCTCTCCTGAATCTTTTCAATAAATGATTGATCAAGCAGGAACATGGAAGGTTATGTTTTTCAAAGGGGTGAGAATATTTAGAGGTGTGTAGGTTGACCGTCTACCAATATTTGTGAAGATTTCTTAACTGCCATATGTGTGTGCATGGGGGGAGAGGCAAGTAGAATCTTTTTTTTAAAAAAAATGAAGTTAATTCCAAAAGGGATAGGATAAAATACTGAAAACTCCAGAAATTAGAAAATACTCTGAAGGCTAAAAAATGGAACGGTTCAGTATATTTAGAGTAAAAGGGAGCCCCACCGAACTACCTGCAAGTCATCAGGCACATGTTCTGATCTGTCAGACAATGTCAGTTTTTAGAGATTCCCTTACCCCTGGGTCCAGCTTGAGTTTAACAGTATGCAAATGTCTTTGTTTATCTTCCAAGGACCAATTACAAAACAAAGCATGCTAAATGCAAGCTATGCAGGTGTTTTGGAAAAAAAAATTTTTTTCACCAGTTGAGGGCACATTGCTTCTAGAAGCAGGCAGTCATCACGACAGCTCCCATATCTATAACCATAACGAGAGTCAAAAAATGCAGGGAACCTTGCTGATTCCTACAAGGAGAAGATAAGGAGAACACAGCTTAATGAACCATCACTTTGAGAACAGTAGCTGACCGACTTCTGGCTTGATGCTGCAATGAGACAGCAGGAGGAGGATGGAGCTCCATCCCCTGGGCTGAATTCTGACATGTTTGGGACCCCCTCGGGGGGTTAAAACCACCCTGAAGAGGTGGTAAAATGGGGGAGAAGCCTAGCGATCACGGGGGGGGGGATGGCGGTTACTCCCGTTTGACCCAGGAAACTCCCCAATCAATCAGCGGGCGGAAACAAGCAGCTGTATAGCTTGCTTGCAAGCTGTCGACAGCCAGCAATGGAGAAGTGATAAATCAGCTAATTAACATCACTGTTATCACTGGGTGAGAATATTTTTATAACTGCACTGCTTTATGACTATCCGTGGATGAGACAATCCATAAAAGAGAAATAGCACCTCCTATCCCCACCACTTATAGAGCAGTGGTGAATCTGGAGAGAGGAAAGAGAAGCAAAGAGACACAAAGAAAAGAAATTGGACATTAATTAGACATTTAATTATACTTCAAGGAAGGATGTGTGATATTATTTTGGCGTTAGAAACTTAAGAAATCTTTCTCTTAAAATCATAATTAGCTAAACAACTCTGGGGAGTTAAACTGGCTATGTTATGGCTACAGCTATCTACAGCGTTGGCAAAAAGCCCAGAACCTTGTACACTCTAGGGCAGTTTTGACTTTTTTTTTTCTGACTGAACTGAAGTAGAGACAAATTAACCCTAGAAAGCCTAATCCTGCCAAAGTGGAATTTTTAAACTGTATCCTGGGTTTTGAACTTGACTGGAGCACAGGTCGGGACAGAATTAATACTGGAATGGATTGCCTGTGGGGCTGGATTACAAACATCAAGTGAACTATTTGGTGAGCAAGTGTCCTTGAGCCTCCAAGCAGGGGAAACCCTTTACATCTGAGACTGGATTCAAGTTTAACCCTAAAGATGATCAATCTATTAAAGTGGACCTATGGAAGCAAGTATTGATAGAATTGGACTGATTACTTTAAGCAACTGGACAACTTTCACTTGGAATACAATTATTTGGTATCTGGGACATAATGCTACAACAAGGAAAATTTTGGGATGAAACAAAATCTACCCTTCAAGCAATTTTAGAAATAGTGAGATCCCACAACGAAGAGGCGAAATTATTCAACAAGCAGTTAAGGAAGGACTACAGTCAACAGGAGACAAGTAATAAGGAACAAGGAAATGAGAGGGTGTTGGATGATGTATGCCAATCAAAGGAGGGGCTCGAGGAAATCAGAGGGGGGAAATTAGGAGATCTAATTCTAACCCTGGAGCCGAGGAGAGTTTTGGGTGTGCTAAGGGAAGATAAGGGGAGAGAA